CTGAAATATCACCTGGGAACCCCAAAATATTCCCTGGGACACCCCAAACCCCTCCAGGACACCCCAAACTCCCTCAGGACACCCCAAACACATCTGGGACACCCCAAAACACCCACAGGGACACCCCAAACACCCCCAGGACACCCCAAAACACCCACAGAGACACCCCAAAACACCCATAGGACACCCCAAACACGTCTCCAGCCCCACAAACAGCCTGTGCACACCCACACCCCCCCTCCCGAGGCACCCCCAGACCCTCCCAGCACCCCCCTCCGCGCTCCCCACGCCCCCCAGCGCAGACCCCTGCCCTGTCCCCCCGCCGCAGGTACATCGTGTTCGAGGGCGAGGAGGGGCAGGACGCGGGCGGGCTGCTGCGGGAGTGGTACATGATCATCTCCCGCGAGATGTTCAACCCCATGTACGCCCTGTTCCGCACCTCGCCCGGCGACCGCGTCACCTACACCATCAACCCCTCGTCCCACTGCAACCCCAACCACCTGAGCTACTTCAAGTTCGTGGGCAGGATCGTGGCCAAGGCCGTGTACGACAACCGGCTGCTGGAGTGCTACTTCACCCGCTCCTTCTACAAACACATCCTGGGCAAGTCCGTGCGGTAAGAGCCGAGCCCGGGGGGCTGGGGGCACTGGGGGGCACTGGGGGGCACTGGGGGGCTGCGTTTGGGGGGTGCCAGAGCCATTTATAGGGTGGGGGGCTGCGTTTGGGGGGTGTCAGAGCCATTTATGGGGTGGGGGGCTGCGTTTGGGGGGTGCTGGATCCCCTTGAAAAGGACTGGAGCCATTTAAGGGGTGCTGCACCCCCTTAGAGGGGAGTGGGGCTGCATTTATGGGGTTCTGGAGCCCTGGTGGGGTTTGACCCCCGTTTTGGGGTTCCCAGGGGGGTCTGGCCCCCGTTTTGGGGTTCCCAGGGGGGTCTGGCCCCCGTTTTGGGGCTCCCCACGGTTCGTGACCCCGTTTCTGGCCGCAGGTACACGGACATGGAGAGCGAGGACTATCACTTCTACCAGGGCCTCGTGTACCTGCTGGAGAACGACGTCTCCACGCTGGGCTACGACCTCACCTTCAGCACCGAGGTGGGGACCCCCAAAACCAGCACCGGGACCCCCAAAACCAGCGCTGGGGGTCCCCAGCTCCCCACAGCTGCCCCTGTGGAGCTCCCTCCCCTCCTGGGGTGTCTCCGTGGTTTGGGGGTGTCCCCTCACTCCTCACACGCCGGGGGTGACGCCCTCCCGTCCTGGGGACCTGCTCTGTGACCCAGGGGCACCCCAGGGGCAGGAGTTGGGGGGGCTGGAGGTTCAGGGGTGTCCCCTCTGTGTCCCCACACCCTGCTGACCCCCCCAGGTGCAGGAATTGGGGGTGTTTGGGGTTCAGGAATTTGGGGTTCAGGAATCGGGGGTGTTTGGGGTTCAGGGGTGTCCCCACGCCCCGCTGACCCCCCCGTGCCCCCCCAGGTGCAGGAATTCGGGGTGTGCGAGGTGCGGGACCTGAAGCCCAACGGGGCCAACGTGCTGGTGACGGAGGAGAACAAGAAGGAGTACGTGCACCTCGTGTGCCAGATGCGCATGACCGGTGAGCACCGCGGGCTCGGGGGGGCTCGGGGGGGCTCCCAGGACCCCCCTGACCCCCCCAAATCCCGCAGGCGCCATCCGGAAGCAGCTGGCGGCGTTCCTGGAGGGGTTCTACGAGATCATCCCCAAGCGCCTCATCTCCATCTTCACGGAGCAGGAGCTGGAGCTGCTCATCTCGGGGCTGCCCACCATCGACATCGACGACCTCAAGGCCAACACCGAGTACCACAAGTACCAGGGCAACTCCATCCAGGTGGGGCTGGGGGGTCCTGGGGGGGTCCTGGGGGGGTCTGGGGGTACCAGGGCAACTCCATCCAGGTGGGGCTGGGGGGTCCTGGGGGGGTCCTGGGGGGGTCTGGGGGTACCAGGGCAACTCCATCCAGGTGGGGCTGGGGGGTCCTGGGGGGGTCCTGGGGGGGTCTGGGGGTACCAGGGCAACTCCATCCAGGTGGGGCCGGCACCTGGGGGATGCCGGTGGCTCATTCTGTCCCCGTGTCTCCCTGTCCCTGTCGCTGTCCCCACCTCAGATCCAGTGGTTCTGGCGTGCCCTGCGCTCCTTTGACCAGGCCGACCGCGCCAAGTTCCTGCAGTTCGTGACGGGCACGTCCAAGGTGCCGCTGCAGGGATTCGCCGCCCTGGAGGGGATGAACGGCATCCAGAAATTCCAGATCCACCGCGACGACCGCTCCACCGACCGGCTGCCCTCGGCACACACCTGGTGAGGGATGGGGGGACATGGGGACATCACACACCCGGTGAGGGGACATTGGGGACATCACACGCCTGGTGAGGGACATTGGGGACATCACACGCCTGGTGAGGGACATTGGGGACATCACACGCCTGGTGAGGGACATTGGGGACATCACACGCCTGGTGAGGGACATTGGGGACATCACACGCCTGGTGAGGGACATTGGGGACATCACACGCCTGGTGAGGGACATTGGGGACATCACACGCCTGGTGAGGGACATTGGGGACATCACACGCCTGGTGAGGGACATTGGGGACATCACACGCCTGGTGAGGGACATTGGGGACATCACACGCCTGGTGAGGGACATTGGGGACATCACACGCCTGGTGAGGGACATTGGGGACATCACACGCCTGGTGAGGGACATTGGGGACATCACACGCCTGGTGAGGGACATTGGGGACATCACACGCCTGGTGAGGGACATTGGGGACATCACACGCCTGGTGAGGGACATTGGGGACATCACACGCCTGGTGAGGGACATTGGGGACATCACACGCCTGGTGAGGGACATTGGGGACATCACACGCCTGGTGAGGGACATTGGGGACATCACACGCCTGGTGAGGGACATTGGGGACATCACACACCTGGTGAGGGGACACGGGAGGGACACGGGGGGGGACACACGGCCTCCCGTGGCCACAGCCAGGACAGGGGGACACGAAGGGGTGGCAGGGGACAGCAGGAGGACGGGGCACAGGTGAGGTGGCCCTCGGGGGGTGACGGTGGCCCCGCCGTGTCCCCAGTTTCAACCAGCTGGACCTGCCGGCGTACGAGAGCTACGAGAAGCTGCGGCACATGCTGCTGCTCGCCATCCAGGAGTGCTCCGAGGGCTTCGGGCTGGCCTAGGGGGGCAGCCCCGGCCCCCCAGGGGCTCTATAAATATATATATATTTTTTTGTTCCATTGGCTTTTTTTTTTTTTTTTTTTTTTTTTTTT